GACGAGGAGGTGGAGGAGGAGAAGAAGAAGGAGAAAGATTATGAGAAAGAAGTGGAAGTGGAAGAGAGGAGGGAAGAGGAGGACGAGGAGGAGGAGGAGGAGCAGAAGGAAGAGAAGGCCGAGGATGCTAGAGAAGAGGGTACGGAGACTCTAGCAGCCTTTCCAGAAGCCTGTGACAGACGCCAAATGCTGCGTTGCTTCAAGACAACTCTGGCAAGGAGTTTGGCCGAAGCATACCCGAATCAAGGTCCAGTCCACGATCTGCTTCAAGTAGCCAGTCTCGTGGATCCACGATTTAAGGCCAAAATTCAGGAGGACGATCCCCATGCGGTGAAGCTACTTAAGGCCAAGGTGAGAATCCTTCGTGCTCTATGCGTAGGGGGGCCATGAAAGCGCCTCCATGTTTGATGGAGAATTTTGAAATGTATGATTTCAGTTCTGAATACTTCAGTTGACGTGTGCATGAGTCATCTCAGCCTTTATCAAACGTCATAGTATTAGGGCAAATTGTTCCGACATTCGGTCGTTAAGTCACCTTATCTCGTCTAGGCGGACATGTAACGTTATCGAATGCATTGGAAAATAAATGTGAGTTGGGAGGGGTCTGGTTTACCTCGAGAGTCACATCTGCCTTGTAGCCCATTGTTTCACTTGGCCGCAGCTACGAGAATACTGATGGGACCAAGAAGAGGAGAAAATTTCAGTCCAGCCTGGATAAGATGAACTTTGAGGAGGTAAGATTAGAGGGAATTTGTTGGTATCATGAGGCCTACTCGTCACGTTCCGGGAAAAATTCTGACTTTAAATCGTCTTAAGCAACTTATGCTATTCTTGAAAGCTACACATTTGGAAAGTTAATTGTCAGGACGCCAATGGAAGAATACCTTATTCAATCTGTTTAAGGAATGTTTAACTAAACACGATGAAACCTTGAAAAGTCAATCTAGACTGTAAACAATTCTGAGTGCTATAATTTTGCCCTCTCTAAAAGTATCCAGTTAAAATTAAATGTATTTTCGTTTTAGAGAAGTCTTTCGAGATTACCAGTAAATCAGATACATGAGTTGTGTTCACCCTATTTCGCTAAAATTTGCTTCATCGATAATCTCACCACATAATGTGATATGGGCAAAATGCCTGACCCTCCTTAAATTCGCATCTGCCTTGTGATCCGAATGCCCTTTTGGCAACGTGTCGAGATTATACACTGCCCTGTCATGGTTCGACTCCCGCTGGGGGTGTTGATAAGACATAGGCGATGTCGAAACTGCAGTCAGGCCTGGATGAGAACATCTTCTGGGAAGGGAGGGCTGTGTGAAAAACAACGGCAACGTCAGCTCTACGCATATCATTGTGGGAAAATTCTACTTACAGTCCTTCATCACCTTAAACGAAGGGAGGAACACAACTTATGTATAAGATTATATATACGAATAAAAGTTGGGTTTCGAGGAATCTCTTGTTTCATAATTGTTGAGCTTACTCCCATTTCGAGTGAAAGTGTTGGGTGAAGAGATTCGATGGTCCGTTCCACCAGAAAACGACGACGGATTCCTCGTGACCAGCTGTCGATCGGCTTTACTAGAAGATACATGCTGACGCTGTTCCCGAGGCAATCTACTTCGATTCCGGTGAAAAGTTGCTAATCTTTCGTCCGTCATATGACAGACAT